AAGGGCATAACTGCAAAGATAGGCTGTGATACGCTGAAGCGTGACGTTCTTTCAACAGCCAACCAATCAGAAGAGAGCTTTCTCCCTGGTTACAATGAAGGTTGCATGTTAAGTTGTATTATTTTTATAATTCTTACTGTTTGTGTACTCACAATTTGTAAATAGAAATTGGTTAAATAGTATGATTCTTGACAGTAGCATATGTCTAGTTAATGTTAGGCAAACCTGATAAGCCTAGTTAATTTATGCTATATAATCTTGCCTTACTTTTAATGGCAACAGTTTACTACTATGGAAATAAACTATAGGAAAATAGTAACTGTTTAATAAGAATAATTAACCATGGCAGAATAACAAATCACATTTTAACTAGAAATAACAGTAACAAAGAGGGACAACTAAAACGATTATTTAGCAAATAACTATGGCAAAGAGGCACAAATACAACATTTATTTATAGCAAATGGCATGACAAAAAGGTATAAATGCACAGTTTACTCGAATCAACTGTGTTCACTAAGCAAACAAAAAGTTACATTTCCATCTAAATCTATATATATAATACATTTTCTAAATATTTTATTAGAATATAAAAAAACAATAATATTCGTTATCATTTCATTATTACTTGAATTTAGATCATAGAGAAGAATTGCTAATAATAATAATAATAATAATAATAATAATAATAATAGGCCTAATTTATATTGTAATTACATGACTTAAAATATAAATTTATTATTTTACTTTGTAAAAAATAATTGTAATTCTTGTTTAACGTACACATAGAAACAGTCACATGCGCATTCTAACTAAACAGTAGTTCTATTTCATATACGCATACGCATGCATCCTTCACGCAGTGACGTAACGCCTATGCGCTCTTCTGCGGGGCCCCAGACCCCTAGGGGTCCATAAGTCCTCCTACCCAAAGGGTCCTCGATCTAGCACCTTGAGCCAAAAAGCCTTTGTTGATACATAAGAGCATACTAATGTTAATTCATTTTCTTGTTTGTATACTTGGTTAGCCTATACATGGGTTTTTAATCGTTTGTAATTTTAGTATTTATTATTTAATGCGTTTCGTTGGTATTATTGTACATTTATTTTATAGTTTATACATGACTAACATATGAAATTATATATTGAATGTTATTTTTGAAAAATCTGACTCAAAATTGCGTTGAAAGGAACTAAACTGGGTACTTATATCCTTTTGCCAAAGTTTCTCAACATGTCTTGAATCAGAAAACCCACGGCAAAAGGGCATAACTGACATTTTGAGCGCAAAAATCAATATTTATAGAAAAATGTGTGCTACAATGGAAGAGATATTATTTGTCTATTTGAATACATTAACCATGAAATCAAATACTAAAACACATTTTAGGGCTAAATAAATTACACGTTTTGCTTAATATCTCCAAAACAGCAAATTGTCAGTTATGCCC